GTCTTAGGAGGTCATCTGATAATCCAAGTTCTACCTAAAAAGGAATTTTTGTTGTTCATATTCAGTTGTTACAGTCATGTCTGACTCTTCATGATCCCATTTGAGGTTTTCTTGGGAAAAATACTGGTTTTCCATTTCCTTCTCTAGCTCATTTTACAGATGGAGAAATTAAGACAAATAGGGTTAAGTGACTTGCCCAGGGTCACATAGAGTAAGTATCTGAGGCTGGATTTGAACTCACATCTTCCTGACTCCAGGCCTAGCGTTCTATCCACTGTGCCACCTAGCTGTCCATGAATAGGAATGTCCCTACATTATTCCTGATGTAGCTATGTCTTTTAATTACTTCAGGAAAGGTCAGCATTTATTTTATTTTTATATTTAATTTTTTAATAAAAGTAATTAATAAAATTAATAAAAGTACCCATTATTTGTGGAGTGGTTAAATACATCAAGGTACATGTATATAGTAGAATATAAGTACTACAACATAAGAAACAGAAAAGGCGTGATTCTGATGTATAGAGTGGCACAGGAAGACATAAAAACAAAGAGAAGTTAATAGAACTAGGAAAACAATGTACATAATGACTACACCAATGTAAATGGAAAGAACAGCAAATAAAGAACTAAATGCTGTGAAATTATAATAACCAAGCTTGGCCCCAAAGAGGAAATATGAGAGTGCAACCTTCTTTGCTGGGTTGTAGGGTAGGATATACACATATATTGTCAGGCTTGATTGATGTGTTGATTAATTTTGCTAAATTGCTTTTTTTCCACTCTTAAAAAAATTAGCTAATATAATATAATATAAGCTAATATATATATAAGCTGATATATAATATAATATAATATAAGCTAATATAATGTTTCTCAGGCCAAATGCTTGTGTTCTCGTGAAAGTCTAGGGAGTAAGGACATAAATAATGAGTGGAGAAATCACGAAATATATAAGCTAATATATAATATAATATAATATAAGCTAATATAATGTTTCTCTGGGTGGGGAAGAGGAGGGATAGATTGGGAAACCAAAAGGTAATATTTTTAAAAATAATGTCACTATAAATGTATTATGGACTCTCCGATAGTAATAGTTTTCATTGCTTATTACCTGCTATGCAGGATAGCAAAGTATGTAATGTACCTTGTGGTTAAAACTCTGTGGAATGATTCAGGGAAATCAATGACATCACCCTCATCTTGTATCGACCCCCCCCCCCCACAAGAATGTATCCCACAGGATGCTGAAACATCTGCTGAAGGCAGAACCAAAGAGAAAGGTTAACCCTTCAATGGTTAGCACTTCAGAGCTGGCGTATTAATATGATTGGCTACTTCTGGCAACACACTGAATCAAATCAGGTATGATTTCTCTGCAGGAAAAAATTACTTTCTTGTCTAAGGGAAGTAATAATATCCAAATAGTTTTACAGTCACTAGCTTATAATTGCATCACCAGTGGTTTCTCTCTGCTACCAGGGTTCTTATACACGTGGTGTTCTCAATAACTTTGAGGTTTGCGTTGTTATCTTGGGGATGAATGAGAGAGAAGCTGGATGTGTTTACTTGTTCTCTCTTATGTAATAATATCATAATCTTGGTAAAAACAAATGCCTTTTAAGGACACTTGTAAGCTTGAATATTTCAGCTTGGATCTAGATATGGAATGCATTGTTATAAAAATCCAGAACAAACCAGAAAAGGACTTTCGAATATTATCCTTATTCTCCTGTAGAGAGAATGTATATTCAAAACACTGTGAACCATACCTACTCATATTACCTTAGTAACAGCTTCAGGGAAACCCCTGAGTAATTATTCGAGCTGCTTAATTGTTAGAAGTGCTCTCCCTGGGAAGTTATATTTGGCTTCATCTTGGCTGCAGGTAAAATGTCACCTTTTAGGAGCTGTCAAGTCTCTCAAACTGCATGTCAATCCAGCTGTTCTGTGGAGGGGAGGGAATAACCTTGACTCATATAATGGGCAGGCCAAATGCTTGTGTTCTCGTGAAAGTCTAGGGAGTAAGGACGTAAATAATGAGTGGAGAAATCACGAGGTGAAGACTTGGGAAAGCTTTGTTACCTGTTACTACTGACTCTTAAATTCCCTGTAGTAAAGTCTTCTGAATTTCATCATTCTGTTTCCAGTGATCACCCCAACACTTCCTGGAAATAAATGTTCTGTTTCTGTGAGTCTCTGAGGATCTTGTTTAAGGGTTACTGTGAGTTGAAGGCTAAATGAACACAATAGCAAACAGATGTTTGGGAAAGGAATTTACACACATAGGCACAGGTATTCGTATTTTTAAAAAGCAATTTTCCCCTCCAAAATGTTTCACCAATCTATGCTGGGGAAATGTTTTGGGGACAAACCACATGATGCTTTTGGAAAATGCTTGCCTCACACAGAAATGGTTTAAGAGACAACAATAGGGGCAGCTAGGTGGCACAGTGGATAGAGCACCGGCCCTGGATTCAAGAGGACCTGAGTTCAAATTTGGCCTCAGACACATAACACTTACTAACTGTATGACCCTGGGCAAGTCACTGAAACCCATTGCCTAGCCAAAAAAAAAAAAAAGAAAGAAAGAAAAAAAAAGAGGCAACAATATCCAGTCAAGGGAAGACCCACAAGCATACTTAGAATTACTGTAGTCTTTTCCCAGAAGAATTCCCAATGTTCCTTTTCAGGAGATGCTGTGGGGGTGACGGAGAGGAATTTTTAACCTTTTACCTTTGCCTTGTGATACCAATATTCCCCCACTCCGTTTTTCCCTTTTTGGTTTAAAAAACATTTCCAAAGGATTCCTAACTACTTTTGATAAGATTCCATAAATTTGGAGGAGTCAGTGTATTTATCACACCAAAGCAACCAGTTTAAAAGTGAACAATTTAATCAACCAAGTCAATTTGTCTACATAGCACTAAAACACCAGATGTCTCATGACTGAATCTTTCTCTCTCTGTCATTTCTTCCTTCCTTCCTTCTTTCCTTCCTTCCTTCCTTCCTTCCCTCCCTCCCTCCCCCTCCTCTCTCTCTCTCTCTCTCTTTTCTCCCTCCTTCCCTCTCCCTCTCTCTCTGTATTTCTCTTTCTTTCTTTCATCAGAAAGGTGGGAGACTATGGTCATGCCATGTTACTGCTATGTCATTCAATTTGATTTAAATATTTTTCTTTGTTAAAAGGGAAGGTTCATCATAGGGGAAAGCAGAAGTATTATCCAGAAATAACATGAATAAATGAAGTACCAATAATACTTAAAAAGAGACAATGATCATTCTGAGTGGAGAAGACACTGCTTAAACAAAAAGAGAACTGAAAGTCTACTAGTAGATCTACCATTGAACAATGCCCTAGTAACCCAAGAACATGCTCATTTTCTGAAGGAGTCTAACAACTTCCAAGAAGGCTAAGAAGAACCTGATTGGAAATATCATTGTCAATAGGACAGAAGCACCCCAAATAACCAAGTACATCCTGGAATTTATTCTCTGCTCAATGCACAGTGGATTTACAATATTAATGATAACAAAATATAATAGCTAGCATTTACATAATGATTTAAAGTTTGCAAACTATGTTACAAACATTGTCTCATTTTTATTCTTACAACAACCCTGAGGGATAGATGTTATCATTATCCATTTTATGGAAAAGAAAATTGATGTAGACAGAGGTTAAATTATTTGCCCAGGGTCAATTAACCAATCATCTAATAATATTTAAAATAATATAAGTTGTATAGATACTCTATCAACTAATTTCTGAAAAGCTCCCATTGTGATTGAAATTATTCAGTATGTTGAAGTTCAGAATCCTAGGAATAATTCTTACTAACTTATTTGTTGAAAGTGATACCACAAAATGTTGAGAGTTGGTAAAGAAAAACTAGAATTCAGGAAACTAGGATTGCCATAGTTTATAATAACAATGTCACACTCATCCCCTGCTTTGAATCCAGAGATCTTTAAGGGGTTTTATTATATTATTCTTAAACTACTAACTAATATCCCCCTATCATCTGGGAAGATTTTTCAATGTCAGCATTTGCATTATTTGTTATTTTAATTCTTTCAAAGAGCAATGGAAAAACTTATCATGGGTATGAGTAGAATAGTGGGCCAGTCAAGTAGGACACCAGCCACTAAATAGATGGGCAGTGTGAGAACTCAATAGCTACTCTGAGTTTTTAAACAAATAGGAGACAGATTTCAGTTCGCTGGATTAATTCCCTCCAGAAATTTATAGGAAAACCGATTCATGGGAAAATGTATACAAGAATCTTACAAGATGAAAAAGTGTGGAGAGACATTAGTAGAGGGAATGCCATAATAAAATCATGGCTCCACCAAAGTATTAACTGTTCTTCATGCCACTTGCTTAATTAGGCATTCATGGATAAAGAAATGGAGACAATAAAGATTTAAGGAGGTAATTAGTGTTGGTCTCTTGGTTTTTCCCACCTATTTCAAAGGGTTAAGAATGGGGAAAAATAGGAGAACATCTAATAACCCTTTCCATTCTTCATCATGTATGATATACTACATTACTTGTTCTTTGACGTCCTACCTCTACTGCCTAAAGAGGGAACTGCCTAAAGGTGGGAAATAGAAGTGTGGAGAATTTGGACAGAAAGCTCAGAAAGCAGCTCAGTGAGTTTTAATAACTAGCTACTTTTGCTCCTGACCCAAGTATATAAAATTGTGCCCCCTCTGTTCCTAATGTCATGATGTACAGGGGATAGTGGATTTATATTTTTTTCTAATTTTCTGCCTCCCTCAGTAGAGGCAAGTGCCTTGCCCACGTTATAGATCTTGTTGAAGCTAATTAGAGCTAAAAGTAGAAGTTCCAATTTTCCCTCAAACTTGCTAATGTTCATCTTTAGTATTTGAAGAGGATCAGTGACTTTATGGGTGATGTCTTGACTTGCAAGTGAATTGGATTTAAGTGAGGCAGAGCTGCACAAAGTCATCAGCTTCACTCTCTCTTCCAGAGTCATCGAAGTCCAGTGGCAAGACAAAAATCAAGATGATTGGCAGTGACCTGGGATGCAGTGGACGACCTTGGCATCTTAGATGTCTGACCAGACTTTAAGCACTCTATATGACCTGCTTCAGCCTCCTTCATGGCTGTTGGAACAAATTGACCTTATTCACCCATTCCATCAGGGGACGTCTTCACATGCTTGAGGTTAATATCTCCTAACTCACTGACAGGTTTGAGGTCCTCAACCTGGTTTAACCCATCTGCCAAGATGATTTTACCAGGGGGTGGCTGCTTTACATGCTATACCTTCTTGGAGCCATGGGTGAGAGTTGGACGACAGGTGGACACCAAAGGTAGACAAGAAGGTAATAGACAAGAAGCCCTGAAAAAGGCTCAGCAAGCCCTTACATCCGAGGTGCCGGTCCTCCCTGAACGTCCCAAACTAAAAGATACAAGAACGTTTCACCACACTCAGGTAGCACAGAGCTGAATCAGAGATCTCAGTCCCATTGCTAGCATGTGGCTAGTAGAGTTCCCCAGAACATATTTCTGAGCCATAACTGGCCTTTCCAACAAAGCAACATTATCCCAGAATGCAGCCATATTCACAAAAAGATGGGATACAAATCCTAAATAATTAAATTAGAAATAATATGCTAAATGTTAAATGATATCAAGCCAATGGTTAACTCTGACTTGTAGGCCAAAGGTTTCATATCCCTGTTGTGATGAAAGATTCTTCCCCCTTTTTCTCTCTTTTTATTTCACTATACAGTTGACAGACTGTTATACAATTCACATTATTTTAGTTCTATCATTTAATTACTTCAAAAATAAATGTTAAAATGATACAATTTCAGACTTGTAAGAACATTGGAGGTCATCTAGTACAATGCCTGCCTGAAAAGAAATTCCCTTTAACAGTGGTCAGACCACCTCCAGCTCTAGTGATAATGAATTCACTACCTACTCCAATTTCTCCACCTTCAAACATAATGACCTTTTCTCAATCCTCATCCTTCTTGTCCTCTGCAGCCTTTGACACTATTGATAAGCCTCTTCTCCTTGATACTTTCTTTTTATTAGGTTTTTGTAACACTACTGTCTCCTGGTTGTCTTATTTGTCTGAGTGCTACAGCTCAGACTCCTTTGCCAAATCTTCATCCAGATCATGGCCACTAATGGTGGGTATCTCCCACCATTAGCTTTATTGTAACCCCTCCTCTCCCCTCCCTTCTTCTCCCTTACTCTCCTCTCCTCTCCTCTTATCCTCTCATGGTTTCAGTTATCTGTCATCTCTATGCTTATGATTCTCAGATCTACTTATTCAGCCCTAACCTCCAGACACACACATCCAACTACCTAGTGGACATCTTGAATTGGTTGTCTCATAGACATCATAAATTTGTGTCCAAAACTGAACTTATTATCTTTTTCTCCAAGTCCTACTCTTTTTTTCTTTCCTTTTACTGTGGAGGGTACTACCATCCTCCCAGTCACTCAGTTATGCAACCCAGGTGTCATCCTCAACTCCTCACTCTCTTACCCCTATATCTGAACTATTGCCAAGTCCTGTAGATTTTACATTCATAAGAACTCTGGTACACACATACCATGCTTCCCCCCATCTCTTCTCTGACCTCTGCCACCATCCCGGTGCAGACCCTCATCATCTCAGGCCTGGACAAGTGTAATCACATATTGGTGGGTTTTCCTGATTCAAGCATCTCCCCACTCCAATCCATCCTCCATTCAGCTGTCCAAATGATCTTTCTAAACGACAGGTCCCATGATACTGAATCCTTGCTGTTTCTCACACAAGTAACTCCATCTCATAACTCTGGTATTTTCATTGGCTGTCCCCCATGTTTGGAATGTTCTTTTTTGTTATCTTTGCTTCCTGGTTTCTCTGGTTTTCTGAAAGTCCCAGCTAAAATCCCACCTTCTACAAGAGACCTATTCCCCTTAATGGTAGTGTCTTCCCTCTGCCGATTCTCTCCAATTTACCATATGTATGTATGTATATACTTATATTATATGTATATACATAAATCGTATTCATATAGCTATTTACATACTGTCTCTCCTATTAGACTGTGAGGTCCTTTAGAGCAAGTACTGTCTCTTGCCTTTCTTTGTATCTTCATTGCTTAATATGGTGCCTCACATACAGAAGGTGCTTAACACATATTTGTTGACTTGAGCTATAGATAGGGTATCCTGTGTGCTCTAGTTTGTGATAATTGAGGAACCACTACCATTTGACATTACCCTATCTTTGCCATTCTCTAAACTATGCAAACTGTGCCAGTTCCATTTTACCTGGTTTGTTGAAATAATTGCTTTTCAGTACCATGAACACAGTATAATTGATAAAAATTCGAAGACCTAAGTCACTTAACCCTGTTTGCCTCTGTTTCCTCATCTGTAAAATAAGCTGGAGAAGGAAATGGCAAACCACTCCAGTATCTTTGCCAGGAAACTCACCAAAAGGGGTCACAAAGAGTCAGACATAAATCAAAAACAACTGAACGTGCAAAATATGTCCAAAAATGATTTTTGATACAGATTTAGAATTTCATTGGTGTACAGAATTTCTTGTGAGGAAATTAATTCTACCAATCGAATAGACAACGCTCTACACTTTGTAGTGTTAGAGAGGTGCTTGGGGGAAATAAAGGGTGAAGAGATTTGTTCATGTGAGACAAGGGGAAGACTTGAATTCTCAGCTTCCTGTTTCCTATATCATCTCTCTATCCACTATACCATATACCTCCCATTACTAAAAACTGGACTAAATGTACGCTGTTTCTGAACAGATTAAAGTAGATATAATTGTTCAATTAAAATACACTTCAAGATTCCATGATTTTGTGTGCTTTGTGTTCCCTCCACTGATGAAGCATACAACACTGTTCTCATTTGGTAAATAGTCTTTTAGGTGTCTCCATGGCCCCAAAATATCTCATCTTTTGGCCAGGTTAGTGATGAACCCTCTGAATTTTGCTAGTCTGGTTTTCAAATAAAAGATGCACAGTTTGGCCCTGGTCTCAAATAGATAACCTTTGTGTTGGTCCTACCTGAATTCAAATATTGCCTTTGAAAGCCAAGGTCACCTCCATGTCATGGTGAGGTAGCAAAGAGGACCTCAGTGAAAGATGTTAAAAAGTAACAGAAAACTATCATATATATATATAATATGTATATATATAATAAAATATACAGCTTATAAGATTGTATTTATTTATTTAATAAATAAATACATAAATAATATATGTAAAATTTATAATAGAATATATATTAACCATGAAAGTTGAATGTTAAAGATTAAGGCTTCCTTCCTCTGTTATCCTAAACTACTCTGGCCAAGTAGAAGGGAAAGACTCTAGAGTCCCTCAAGATTTCCTTAAGTCCTTTTTTTCATCATTGACAGTGAAGCTTTTACATTTGGAATCAATCTATTATCACAGTCCCCGAGAAATGAGGAAGTAGAAGTGAAATTAAAATAAACTGAGATGGGATGAGCAGCTGGACCAGACCATGTATAGCCTTAGAGACAAAGGAAATCAATTCTGGAGATAACAAAATTCTGGTAGTGTTGAGGGATTATTTCCTAATGTATCAGAAAGGCTATAATATCAAAATCTTGGGAAGAAAATAACTAAACTGTATCAAAGGCCACTGAGAAAATATCAATAACTATAAATCTAAATGTCTGCTTTCTTATGTCTGAAAAATCTTTGCAAGAATAATCTACATTAAGAGACTCTTTGAAAAAAAAGAGAATCTTTGATCATAGTTTGATGAGGGAAAAGGCAAGATTTTGCAGATGATGTTTACATCTTTATAATCATGCAAATAACTGAAACGCATAGAAACAACAAAATCCTACTGTGCTTATTATTTCTGACACTGAATTTGATTTTGTAAAGTAAAAACCTTGTCCAGGAGGCAACTAGATGGCTCAGTGGTTAGAGTGCTGGGCCTGGAGTTAGGAAGTTCAGTTCAGTCATTTTTCAGTCATGTTTGACTCTTCATGATCCCATTTGGGGTTTTCTTGGCAAAGATGGTTTGTCATTTCTTTTTTGGCTCATTTTACAGATGAGGAACTGAGGCAAACAGGGTTAAATGTAACTTGCCCAGGGTCACACAGCTAGCTAGTGTCTGAGGCTAGATTTGAACTCACAGAGATGAGTTTTCCTGATTGCAAGTCCAGTGCTCTATCCACTGTGCCATCTAAGGAGCCAACTCTCCAGAAGTTAAGAAGACCTGAGTTCAAATGTGGCCTCATACACTCACTAGCTGTGTAACCGTGAGCAATCCCTCATCTGTAAAATGAGCTGCAGAAGGAAATGGCCAACCACTCCGGGATCTTTGCCAAGAAAACCCCAAATGAGGTCTTGGAGAGTTGGACATGACTGAAATGACAACAAAACCTGCTAAAGGCTTTCTTTCAACAAGTTGTCTTCTAACTGTAACATAAAAAATGCTTGTTGATTGATTGATCGAAGTCCTTCCTGACCTTCCTGTCAGACCCCATGGGACACTGATTCTCAAGTCAGTCAGAAATGACTCTCTAATTCAACAGGAATACTTAAAGGTCTTTGAGGAGATGAAGACATTCTCTGGCTCTCCAGGAATTAAAGTTAGCATAAATGAATGGCCAAAAAAAAAAAGTTCTTTCAGTAAGCATAGGGCTTCCCCTATGCAGTAAAGACAAGAGGAAAATGTTAGGGCTCTGAGGGTAAAAAAAAATTCTGTCCTAGCAGTTTCTTTCCCATGAAGCTATTATGGGTATTTAAGCCATCCTTTGCCCAATAAACCAAAATCCTATGCCTTTTACTTATTTGAATCTTTTACTTTTGACTTTCATCTACTTTTGCTGCACCAACTCCACGACTCCAGAGGTTACCTTTATGGCAGGGATTCTTAAATCTTTTTGCTTCACAGACCCCTTTGGCAGTCTGGTGACCCTATCTCAGAAGGTTTTTAAGTGTGTAAAATAAAATACACAAGGTTACAAAAGAAACAATAACAACCAAGATGCAATTTTTCTCCCATCTGTGTTCAGAAAATGGGGGAGCTCCAAGTGAAGAACCTCTGGTTAGAGGCAACATGACCAAGTGGATAGATTTCTGGGCTTAGGGCCAAGCAAAATTTGATTCAAGTTCCGCTTCTGATACTTACTAGCTGTGTGGCCCAGG